AACAAGAAACAACTTTTCATTGATATATGAAACGGAGAAAAAGTACAAAGATACAAACTCCCAAAGGGGAGAGAGAAAAAGAGAAAAGAAAAAAGATAAAAATAGACCCAACTAGGAGCAGTACAGATAATACAAGCATATAAGACCAAGCTAACTATAAGCAAAACGATCCATCAAGATGAAAGGACACAAAAGGAAACGTTTAAGAGCCTTTAACTTCGGGCATGTCAGCAACTTCATCAATGAATTTACCATCTAGAAAAAGGACATTGAGATCTTGAGAAAATTTGGCTCGAATTTCAACTTTTTCTCTTTCCCGACTAGCTTGAATCGCCAACACTTTTCTATAGTGCTCTTCTAACAACGACTCCCACACTTTGCGAAGCTTGACAAGCTCGGAATCAAGAAAACTAAGTATGCATCCAAATCTGAAGGAGAAAGACTAGAGATGTATTTGAGGGTATCAACTATGAATTCTTTTGAAACATGCAGGGGAGACTTTATCCATGGTGCCAAGTAACACTTCTCAAAACTCTTAATAACAAAGAAAGCTTCAGCAAACCCTTGCTAAAAATAGGAAAAAACAATGAGAGCCTTTTCAACTTCTGAAACCTGCAAAGAGAGAGAAAGGGATAATGACCTCTCATCCTTCAGGTTAATAAGGAGTTTTGTTCTCATCCTTCAGGTTTTTTATTTTTATTTTTTAATTTTGAATTGTATTTTCTTGTATAGTTAGCCTTTGGACTCCTTTTGCAGTTTTTGTATGTCCCTGTTGTATTTGTTCTGTTTCATCTTTCCTCCAGGAAGGCTTGGTTTGTTAAAAAAAACTCATTTTATTGGTTCCCTTGGGTGTCTATGACTAAAGAATCCTGTAATTATCTTTGTTTTTATTGGCTCCTTTGGGTGTCTAACCTGTTTATATAGCTAACTTGCTAGCATCTTTGTATCCGAATGTGGTCTCTTCCCTGATACTCCACCTGATTAAGGAAATTGTATATGTTTTTCTTTCATCTTGTAGGTATTATCGAATGTTTGAAGCCACACAAGATGGGTTAGGTAGAAATGCTCCTGTTCACAGTATACATGGTTCCTTACTTGCAGTTGGCGAGCTTTTGAGGTTAGTATAGATGGTATGATTTTGGATGCATGAATTATGTTAGTTTTGTTCTTCCTTAGTATCTCTTTAGTGGAAGGGTAATGTGTAACGTCTTGATTTTTTCATATAGTATCTTACTATTTTCTTTTATTTATTGGTGAATAATTTTAAAAAAACATTCGAGGTGTTTGTTTATGGCACGTGAGGTGGGAATTCCAGGTCCTGAGCCGTACACATTCATATGTTTTAAATAGGCTTATGACTTGTCCCCAGTTTTCTTATCCAAATTTAAAATTTGGATCGAGGGTTCCTTACCTTTTTTAATAGATATTTCATCCCATTATGAAATATTTTCTTAACGAACTTTGACACCCAATTGAAAAAAAATGAAAAGAAAATTGTTATTTTGCTTTTGTTAGCTATGTTGTAAATGTCTTTCATTTTGATCAGTCAATGAAAAGAAATTGTTACCCAACTGATTAATTTTATCTTTATTCTTGCTTTTATAAGCACTGTTTGCAAATGATCTTTCATTTTTTGATAACAGTCGATCAAGTTTTTTCTGAAGTGGTTAAGGGAATGTGCCTTGAACCATCTCAAGGCACTTTCACCTCAATCTCTCTCAATGGCACCTTATGTCTTTCTGAAAATTGGTAGTGAAGGGTTCCTTCCCTCTACCAATACCTCTTCTCTTCCTCATGAGAAACTAATTGGAAAAAAGAGTTGGATTATCGAAGCAATATGTTCCCTATAAATGCTGAAATCCTTAAAATGTCCAAGTGATCAATAGCATATTAAAATTTTCTCCTTTTCTTGTTTTGTTTAGAAACTTGAAGTACAAATTTGGGACTTCTTATATGAGTTGTAAAATTTTTGCTACCCTGAATTATTTTATTTAACTATTTATTTATTTACATATTTTGGGACTTATGAATTTTAGTAGGCTTTTCTATATATAGACTTAGGTTACAACTGTTGACTTGTACATGTACTCCATTTTGATAGGAATACTGGTGAATTCATGATGTCAAGATATAGAGAAGTTGCTGATATTGTTCTTAGATACCTAGAACACCGGGATCGTCTTGTACGCTTGAGCATAACTTCATTGCTACCTCGAATCGCTCATTTTTTACGCGATAGATTTGTGTTAAACTATTTAACGGTTAGTTAATTTTGCCTACTTATGTGCAATGATGTCTTAGCTTGGCTGCTTATCAAGTTCTTTTGGAGCTTATTTGTCAGTAACTCGTAAGATGTGTGTGTGCAACTTCTTGTAGATATGCATGAATCATATTCTCACAGTTCTTAGAACACCAGCTGAGCGTGCCAGTGGGTTCATTGCCCTTGGTGAGATGGCTGGAGCTTTAGATGGGGAACTCATCCACTATTTGCCGACTATTACAAATCACTTACGTGATGCAGTATGTCACCAACTAATTTGCTAGTATTTTTCTGCCCTTTCATCGAGTTATCATTCCTCGTAGCATATAGACATTGTTAGGTCATCTAATGGTTCATGAAAGTTATCAAATCTTAATCTTCAGATTGCTCCACGTCGTGGTAGACCCTCACTTGAGGCTTTGGCTTGTGTTGGAAGCATTGCAAAAGCCATGGGGTCTGCAATGGAATCGCATGTTCGTGGTCTCTTAGATGTTATGTTCTCAGCTGGCCTTTCCCCTACACTTGTAGAATCCCTAGAGCAAATAACCATCAGGTATACATGGTGTTTCACAAACTCTTTGCAGTGCACGGTTTTGTTTGATATTCTTTAAGAGAATCTTATGGTTTCTTTAATCTACTTTTATTTTGCAGTATTCCATCTCAGCTACCCAGTATTCAAGACCGGCTTTTAGATTGCATTTCAATGGTTCTATCAAAATCATATTCTCCTCAAGGTAGGCCAGCTGCTGTGGTGGGGCGGGGAAATGCAATGATAGTCCCTCAACAAGTTTCAGATCTTTGTGGTTCATCTCTTGTGCAACTTGCATTGCAAACACTTGCTCGTTTTAACTTTAAGGTTTGTTGCGTACAATCAGAAACTAACTTTTTACGCTCAACATTTCTTTTAGTCTACAATTTTGTTTATTTGGTTTAGGGTCATGACCTTCTAGAGTTTGCACGAGAATCAGTTGTTGTGTATTTGGATGATGAAGATGGAGCAACACGAAAAGATGCTGCTCTATGTTGTTGCAAACTAGTTGCAAACTCCTTTTGTGGACTGCAATGCACACAATTTGGTACTAGTAGGTCTAGTCGCACTGGTGGGAAACGCCGTCGCCTTATCGAGGAGGTATATTGTTTTGGAAAAATTGCCTTTTGCATTGAACTATTTTTTATCGGCTATTAATACACTTTCTCTTCTGCCTTTGCTCGATCCTCGACGTTAAATTAGTGATGTATGTTATGTGTTAACTTGTAATTATTTTTACTTTTATTTTGTTTAGTTATTGGAATTAGTTTGACCAAATTTTAATTTTTATCTCAAGGGTTAGGCTTTCTTTTCCCTTTGGCTCTTTTTGGCTTGGGCTTTAGAAAGCCCTCGTGTATTCTGATTTGTTTTCAATGAAAGTCATTCTTTTCATAATTCTTGCTTTTTTTTTAATCCTTTTTACCTTTTCTCTAACCCATTCACAAAAGCAAGGGCTTCCCTTTTGTGCTCATTCTTTTTTAATTAGATAACTCACCTCGTACTATTTCCTTTTGAAATTAAGGAAGTTGCCTTCTTTGATGAAAGCTTATTTTCCAAGGGTAGCATGCATGCTTGGTTACTTTGATATAGTTAATGTCAACTGTAATTCTTCGTTATTAGTTATCCATACTTAAAGTTCTTGTGACTGTTAAGGACTGGTCATGAGGAATCTGTTTGGTGGAAGGTGCAGATGAGGGAGGTGGTTCACATTTAGTTAATTGGAAACTGATGTCTAGGTTGTCTTGATTGGTAATGTGGATACTAAGAACTTTGTGCGTTTATACAAAAATGCACCAATTTATGGTGTTTTCCTTTAGATACCTCACACATTTTGGCATCAGGTTATTTTCAATAAGTGTAGGAGCCAGCCTAATGGTTGCCATGTAGCGGTTACCACATAAAAGTATTATCTTCCAAAATTTGTGGAAGACTGTTTTCTCATTTTCTCCTATGTTTTTTACCTTCAGTAATTTGTGGTAGCATGCTTGCTTAGTTACTTTGATCCAGTGAATGTTAACTGGCATTATTAGTTATTAGTTATCCATTAAGTCCTTGTGACTGTACTTTTTTTTAACGTGAGTGTCTAGGCCAGCTTATCTGCACCTTGACTAATGTCATGGGACAGCTGCTTGACCCTACAACATTTGGTGTTGCATGGTTCTTAGACATGCTACTTTCTTTTTGGTCCTTTGAAATATTTGGCTTGAGAGAAATAGAAGGTTAGTTCTTCGGGGGAGGTTTGGCCTTGGCTAGGTTGAATGCCTCCCTTAGTTTCCATAACTAAGATTTTTATGATTATCTTTTTTCTCTCATTCTTTTGAGTCGAAGCACTTTTTGTATAATTGTGTACTTTGTAAGCTTTCTGGTTTTGGCTCCTTCTGTCTTTAGACTATAATTTTTGATGAAATGAAAAGGAACAATAATTATTCAAGGATACGAACCCTTGAAAGAGTGAAAAAGAAACGAGAAAAACAAAAATACAGAATCTAAACAACAAAATTAGAAGGCCAAATAAAAACATCCCAATTATTAACAATAAGAGAGGCAATAATGTGAGAATGGTTAGAACACAAATGAGATGCTTTGAGCTTGGCGGATGAGAGAAAATCGAGCAAAGATCTTCTTTTGTTCTTGAATATCCTCGAATTCCTTTCAAACCAGATTTCTGAGAGAAAACTCTTTACCACATTAATCCATAGAAGTCTTGCCATAGGTGACAAGTGTGTGACTCCACTTAACAATTGGGACAAATTTGCTTCGGCCCTCAAATCAAAAACGCAACTGATCTTGAACTGATCAAAGAGAGAAAACCAGCCTTGATTGCCATAAGAACAATGAAAGAACAAGTGATCCATATCTTCCCCACTCGATTCACAATGAACACAAAAAGAAGGAAGCATTGAAGCTGTGGGAAGCTTCTTTTGAATCAAATCAGCAGTGTTTAACTTCCTTTGAAGCATAATCCAAGAAAAGATATTAACTTTCCTTGGGCTTTTAGACTTCCATAATGCTGTAAATAATTCCTGAGGCATCAAAGAGGAATTATACAATCTGCAAACTGAATTTACAGTAAACACCCCTGTAGGATCAATGTTCCATTCTCTTTCCTCCTTATTAGTAATCGAAAAGGAGCTAATCACCTGTAGCAGGCCAGCAAACTCATGTAGCTCATCTTCCTTGAAAGGTCTTCTTAGAATAATGTTCCATGAACCAGTAGCATTGTCCCAAAAATCAGCAACAGAGCCATGAGGTAATAAAGAAAGCTTGAACATTCTGGAAAAGCTTTCTTTTAAAGGAAATGAGAGTTGCTCTCTTCAATAAAAAAACAAAGTTGGGATTTCTTGTAAGTTGTTTTTGTATTCATTTTTGTTTTGGCCTTTTGGGGTTCCATTTAAAAATGTTGTTTCAGAACTTGTGCACTCCTCCACTACTTTTTTGTACCTAATATCAGTCTTTTTGCAGCTTGTGGAAAAGCTTCTCATTGCGGCTGTTGCAGATGCTGATGTTACTGTTCGCAATTCTATCTTTGTCTCTCTGCATGGAAATAGGGGCTTTGACGATTTTATAGCACAGGCTGATAGCCTGAGTGCAGTCTTTGCTGCACTTAATGATGAGGTTATTCATTACTTGTAAATTATTGTTTGAGCATCTCGTGCAGTTTGCTTACATGATGGTAGCACACATAGGCAGACCACATCTATGCATGTATTAATAAACTTTTAGTGTTTCTTTTTCTGCTATTTGCTCATCTTTCATATCTAGTATTGCATGGTTTTCTTTTCATATGAAACACAACTTTATTTAAAAAAGAAAAAGGTACAGAAAAATAGTAGATAATCTGACCTTGTGAAAGAAAACAAAGACAAATATGAAAAAATGTCAATCTTCCACTCCCAAGAGGATTTTGTTACATGGAAGAAGATTCTAGTCTCTCTTTCTCTCTCTCAAGCATACTGAGATGTTCATATGCCTCAGATGATTACTCCGTTCGCATATAGAAACTATTCATTTTTCCATGTTGATATGCTGGGTGAGAGGATACATTTTCAGAATAGTGCTGGATTCTAAGTTTTCCTGAGTAGTGCTTTTGAAGATTTAGATGTTCTACTGTTGTTAATGGGTTGCTTGTAAGAGGATCAAAATTATTTTTCTTAATTGTGAGAACTTGATGCTAATGATGTAGGATTTTGATGTTCGAGAGTATGCCATATCTGTTGCTGGGAGATTGTCTGAAAAGAATCCTGCATATGTTCTTCCAGCTCTTCGTCGCCATCTTATACAATTGTTAACTTATTTGGACCAGAGGTAATCTGAAGCAGGTTTTTGTCTTAGATAGCCAGATATACCTTTTTCTACTTGATCTTGATATCAAAACTAATAGATGTTTGATTGATTGTCAAGGCATCAGTTAAATTTTTAAAAGTTAGCAGTGCAGATAATAAATGCCGAGAAGAAAGTGCGAAGTTGTTGGGATGTTTGATACGTAATTGTGAACGATTAATACTTCCTTACATTGCTCCTGTTCACAAGGTTTAGTAAATCAGATACTGCTCATGAACTTCTGTCTCTAACTCGCATGAATACACTGTCTCTCTTTCTTTCTCTCTCATCTGTTTGTTGAATGTTTTTCTTCAGGCACTCGTGGCAAGGCTTAGTGAGGGCACTGGGGTGAATGCTAATAATGGCATCATCACTGGAGTTCTTGTTACTGTTGGAGATCTTGCTAGAGTGGTGGGTGACCTTTACATGTTTTTGCAATTAAACATTCCAAATAATTACTCACTTTTACTTATTGTATCCTGTGGTTTTAGAAGCAGGAAATTTGAGCATCTTTTTGCACTGCCCCTCCCCTTCCCTTCTGAATTTGCTTACATTGGGCCGGTTAGATTCCCCCCACCCCACACACGCACATACAAACACACACCCAAGGCTATTGTTTGCGATTCTGGAGAAATAGAGCTCTAAATGATGTATGTATCGAGAAGGT